TAAGGTGGAGAGAGTGACTGAGGAAGACACTTGACATCAACCTCTGGCTTCTATACATGTGCATACACACACACACACACACACACACACACACACACACACACACACACACACACACTCATACACAAACACAACGAACTAAGGAGATGGAACAATTGCAATATGATCTTTGCAAACAGGTGTGTGTGTTAGAGATACTTAAAGGTAAAGAGAAAGCATGGCCACTTCACCAGAATTCCCATCACTCTCAGGAAGGTGGGCATCTAAGCCTCTAGTCCAGCAGGGAGAAATTCTGCTCCTAAAGTGGCCTGTCTGGAGGAGGTCATGTAGTCTGTGTGTTTGTGCGCATGTGCTTTTTAGCATAGAGGAGAAGTAATTTCCCCCAAGCTGGGTGCTTCCCGCTGGTACTTGTAATGGATGTTGATTTGCAAAGCATGGTGGACCAAAGATGCTAACTGAACGCCCACCACTGTGAGTTCCCTCATGAGTACATAGTGGGACCTGTGGAGCTAGATAATCTGGAACATTTTAGTGAGCAAGAGGACGTAGAAACTGCTGCAACCACAGCAGTGATTGAGGCCACTTAGGGAGAGATGACGTCTTTCCGACAGCCGGACTCTAAAAATACCGCGTTGGATATAAGCATGAGTAAGGTTTTGAAGGCATTTTTTTTTCTTTATTCTAGAAAAAGGTTTGAAATAACAGCTCAGTTATGTTATTGGTGAGAAAGGATTCCTTTGCTAAGAACTGGGAAAAATTATGATTGTGTGTGTGTGTGTGTGTGTGTGTGTGTGTGTGTGTGTGTGTGTGTGTGTGTGTGTATGCACATGTATAGAAGCCAGAGGTTGATGTCAAGTGTCAACACGCACACACACACACACACACACACACACATGACGTTTAGGATTGACATATGTATACATACATCAGAAGAAAACACTAGGAGTCCTGCTTTGTCATTTTCCACTTTATTCCTTGAGGCAGGATCTCTCTCAGTGAACCTGGAGCCCACTAGATCTTTCTCTCTTGCTCTGAACTGCCTGGCTAGGAAGGCTCAACCATTCTCCCTGGTTAAGAGCACTTGTTGCTCTTGCAGAGGACCCAGCTTTGGTTCCAGGCATACACAACAAGCTCACAACTGCCTGTAACTCCAGCTCTGGGGGATCTGCCTGTAACTCCAGATCTAAGGGATCTGTCTTCAGGCCTCCTTGGGCACCTATACACATAAACTCATGCTGGCACACACATGTATACACAAATACAAATAAATAAATATGTTTTAATTTAAGGGCTGTGGTATATGAGAAGTCATTTGCCCAGTCTCAAAGAGACTACCAGCCACGTGGCCATCAGTCCTGGTATGATGGGATTTCTACATTGTCCCTGAGAAACATGAATTTACTTAGAATTCTGTGTGAAGTTCCTAACATTCTCGTGTTGGCGAGTTAAGACCGTGTGGGACGTCAGGACATAACTGTGGTGAAGACTGACTGACTAATATGACCTCGGTGTGATTCAGAGACAGAAATCATCCGGGAGCCTGTGGAGGGTTAGCTGACAAATTCTTGTCTTCCCATGTAGCAACACAAAGGCAGTCTTTTGGAGAAGAGAACACAGATCTGAAGTCCAGCGCCCTGGGTGGGAGAGGGTGGCATTCCTCTCATTCTTTGGCAGAGGAAAGCAAAGGCAGCAATCTAATTAGATCAGTGCTAACATACCCCCCGCAAGTGCTCGTGGCTCCGTTCTGGGTGAGTTGTGATCAGGCAGTGTGACCTCAGTTATCACTATGACCTTGACTGTGGTTGAAAACTGCTGATTACCCTCCAGACGTGCCCTGAATTCTTGATGACCAACTTTGGGAGTAGGAAGGGAGAAATGGTGATTGCGTGTAAGATACCTCAGTAACAAAGGTTAAGCAGTGGAAATGTCAGGGTTCATGTTTACGGAAGAAATATGATTCTGCTTACCACATTACACTTTCTACTCATGTAGTCATAAAGGAAATGATCCCCCCGCCTGCCCGCCCCCCTTTTCTTTTCTGAGACAGGACTTCTCTGGGTAGTGCTGGCTGTCCTGGAGCTCACACTATAGACCAGGCTGGCATCGAAGTCACAGAGATCTACCTGCCTCTGCCTCCTGAGTGCTGAGATTAAAGGCATAGGCCACCACCTCTGGCTAGTAAATGGCCATTTTTAAAGAGAGAGGAATCAATAAACCTAGTGTTTGCGTGATGTCTTCCAGAATGCTTTAAATTCATTGTGTAGTTTAAACTTGTGTGGAATATACATTTTTTTTTTTTTTTTTTCGTTTTTCGAGACAGGGTTTCTCTGTGTAGCTTTGCGCCTTTCCTGGGAATCGCTTGGTAGCCCAGGCTGGCCTCGAACTCACAGAGATCCACCTGGCTCTGCCTCCCGAGTGCTGGGATTAAAGGCGTGCGCCACCACCGCCCGGCGGAATATACATTTTTTACCTGTCAATTTTACAAATATGTAATGCTTATTTATTTTCATTTCTGTTTTGAGGCCGAGTCTCATGTAGCCCAGGCTGGCCTCCAACCAGCCACGGTTAATCTTTAACTTCTGACCCAATCCTCCAGCCTCCACTCCCAGGTGCTGGTTACGTGTGCATGTTACCACAATGAGTTTATATGGTCCTGGGATTCAAGCCTAGGACTCACTCCATGTATGTGAGGCAAGTGCTCTCCCAACTGAGCTATACCCCTAGCTCCAAATGAGGCATATTTACATCATGAAGCACATGAGAGAGAAGAGAAGTGACCTGTTTTGATTAAGGCCCTCATCAAAGGGACATAGGCCATAAATCCCTACTTTAGGATTCCAAATCCTATAACTTTTTTTTAAACATCAGAAACAAAGCTGTGATTCTGATGTTTTCCAGCTTGGGTCTACAGAGGCAATAGGTATAGATATTTTGGGACTTGATTTTAAGTTTAAGTTTATATTGACATTACTTTGCCAGAAATCAATAAAAAAAGGAAATGGTGGGTTCCCAAAGGTTTTGGTATTTCCCAAATTCTTTAGTTGAGTTTCCAACGCTGAATTAATATTTCTCACAGGCATGCATGGTAACTGTCCAAGCAGTGCACTTACAGGCTTGGGATGGTGAGAGCCAAATCATCCCACCTGAAGGTTCTGCATCCCATCTGTTCCTCTCTCACTCCTTTCCCTTCCTCCCACTGACTGACTTTTGCCCTCCTCTTTGTGTGTGTGTGTGTGTGTGTCTGTCTGTCTGTCTGTCTGTGTATTGTTGCACGTGCCTCTGAAGACCCAAAGTTGATTGATATCAGGAGTCCACTACTTCAATCACTCTTCATCCTACTCATTGAGACAACCCAGAACTCAGATACAGCTCATCTGACTAGCCAGATTGTTTCAGGAATCCTTGTTTCTGCCTTCCGCATGCCGGGGTTATAGGTGAGCCACCACACACCCCTGGCATTTACATGATGTCTTAGTCACTGTTCTGTTGCTGTGAAGAGACACCATGACCAAGGCAACTCTTACAAAAGAAAGCATTTAGTTGGGAGCTTGCTTGCAGTTTCCGAGACTTAGCCCGTTATCATCATGTCAAGGAGCATGGCAGCACACATGGTACTGGAGCAGTAGCTGAGAGCCACATCCTGGTTCACAGGCCGAGAGAGGAGAGAATACACCACTGGTCCTCGCTTGGGGTTTTTGAAACCTCAGAGCCCACCCCCCAGTGACACACTTCTTCCAATAAGGCCATACCGACTCCAACAAGGCCACACTGCCTAATCCTTCTAATCCTTTAAAACAGTGCCACTCCTTGATGACTAAGCATTCAAGTATATGAGCCTGTGGGTGCCATTATTATTCAAACCACAACATGTGGGTTCCTGGGGATCCAGACTCTGGTCCTCATGCCAGGATGGTGGGCACTTTAAAACATGAGCATCCTTCTTTTTTTTCTTTGTCTGTCTCTGCCCATCTCTGTCTCTGTCTCTGTCTCTCTCTCTGTTTTGTGTGTGTGTGTGTGTGTGTGTGTGTGTGTGTGTGTGTGTGTGTGTGTGTATGTGTGTGTGTACACTCTAGCTAGTTTATGTACATAAGGAGGTTGGAGGGCAACATCAGTTATCTTCCTCTATCACTCTCCATATAATTTTTGAGACAGGATTTCTCCCTGAACCTGGTGCTAACCATTTTGGGCTAGACTGGCTGACCAGCCATTGTGGAGTGATACTCGTAACTCTATTATACACTCATTTTCAGTAGCTTCTTCATGTTCCTAAGGATGGGAAACAGGGAGACATGTAAAGATTATTATTAGTTGGAGATTTTGGTAAGTGAAAGGAAGCACTACTAACAATCACGTAGGAGCAACAGGTGTAGAAGAGGAGGGGGCAATATACACCAAATCCATACAAATAATTACAGTTGTAAGCACAACAACTACAAGACAGTGAATCCCCATAGGTTAGCCCACTATAATAGAAGCCTCATGCACTCTGTCTCAATTCTTGCAACAGTCATATGAGGTGGCTAACCATACTGGTTATATGGAAATAAAGCTTAGAAATATAAATAATGAGTATAAGCTAAGAAGATTCAGAGTTAGGATTTAAGCCCAATTTTTATAAAAAATTAAAATACATGCTTTTTCTGTCCTTCTGCCCTGTAGAAAAAGAGTGTCCTTTTAGAAATTATTGAATCAGAATAGCTAGCTGGTTGGGCTTGGCTATTTTAAGAATAATGTTTGGGCCACACACTAAATCTATGAAAAAAAAATGGACAAGTATAACTGTGTGTGTGTGTGTCTGTGTCTGTGTCTGTCTGTCTGTGTGTGTATCTGTATCTGAGATAGGATCTCATTTACCCCAGGTAAATAGCCTAATAACCATTCTGAACCTACTTCCTCCAGCCCTCAAGTGCTGGGATTATGGACATCCTGGGCAGGTATTTCATCAACTGAGCTACATCCCCAACCCAAGCTGACATTCTGTCTCTCTGTCATTGCTCCAGGTCTGTCAGTTTGTCGTCTCTGTCAACGGGCTCAACGTGCTGAATGTAGACTACCGCACCGTGAGCAACCTGATCCTGACAGGCCCAAGGACAATCGTCATGGAAGTCATGGAGGAGTTAGACTGCTGAGCCACGAGACTTCCCCTCTGGTGCCCCATCCCAGAACAACCCAGCAATGACATGACAAGACTGCCAGACAAATGGATAATTGGAACGTACCGATCTTTTCTCGGTCTGTACACACCTTGACGTTCATACAGTGTTTGAATGTGGAAGAACCGGGTAACACATCTTTAAAAAACAAAACACAGCAGGGGTGTGGTGACTCAATTCTATAATCCCAGCACTCAGGAGGCCAAGGCAGGAGCAGTGCTGGAAGTTCAAGGCCAGCCTCAGCCCACAGTGCGAGTGCCCGTCTCAAAAACCGAGCATACACACACGTGTGCACACGCATGTGCTTGTGCCAATGTAGATGATGATAGGGAAACAGTTTCCCTAGGGGGTGGTGTTGCCTTACTAGAGCCCAGTCCGTAGTCCTCGATCATCAGTTTTCATGTTTGTGGAAAGTTGTTGAAGAGCCAAAATAGCAACATGGGAAAATGCCATTTTCCGAAGTTTGTAGAATAGTTATTACATAGTTTACATCATTTCCATTGTGCTCTGATGGCAGGAGTAATGAAATGGCGTCTGCTGTCCTGGATACATGGGACACAGAGGCAAGAGAAGGATCACTTGAATTCTGGTGGTTGAGCCAGCCTGGGCAACATAGTGAGATCTCATCGTAACAAAAAAGATTTTCACCAAAAATATCCTGAAGCTGTTAAATAAGTGTAGATTTCACAGCTTCAGAGGAAAGCAACATCCCTAGGAATGTGACCTGCTAACAGGAATTTCCAAGAAGTTTCTTAAGCATTCAACTGCTTCAAAGCCATCATCACAAAGTAACTATTTTCCTCTCTATTTACATTTTCTTTTTTTTTCTTTCTTTCTTCATTTTTTTCTCTTAGACAGGGCCTTGCTAGGTATCCCCTGGCTACTGACATTTCCTTAATTTCTGCCTTTATCACCAATTTTCAGCTTAACCTGTTTCAGTTATGGTTTGAGGTGAAAAATAAAACTCTGTGCCATGGGTGGCGGAGATGGACAAGGAGACAGTGTCCCCAACTGCCTGTCCCTCTTTTCTCTCACTCGGCCTGAGTGCTTTCACCCCATGAATCAGCTCTGGCAGATTTCTGGAGTTCATTTGAAATATTCTGGGTGGGAAAGCAAAGAGGTCTGTCCATACCCATGGAAGACACCAAGTCAAACCTCTGACATGACTGCCCTTTGTAAGCATCCCCTTCTAAGGGACCTGGCTTCGGTGTGACAACCTTGAAACTCAAAATGCCTTCTTAGCCTGGATTTTTCCAAGGCTTCTGATGTCACGGGATATGCTGCTCATTTAGGGATCTGCTTGCCACTACAGTCTCCATCCTGTGTTAGAATTCTTCATCTCACTTGTGTGTGTTTCTTTGATCTAGAAAAGACTTCCTTTGAACCAGACGCGGTAGCACACGCCTGTAATCCCAGAACCCGGGAAGTGGAGGCAGGTTGGTTCATCAAATGCTCAGAACAGTCTAACAACTAAGAAGAAGGCCTGACCACATGGCTTTAATTTGTGTTTGTTTTGAGACAGTGTCAAGCTCCCGATCCTCCACTTCCTAAGTGGGATTACGGACTCACAGCACCACACTCAGATATCATAACACCCCCCACCCCCCCAGATGAGTCTTAGATGTTTTTTGCCTTTCGGTGTTTCTTGACTGACAAAAGAGGAAAGGATGCCTGTGGAGCGCTCCATTCTTCTTGCTGCTCAGCTTCCACTGCCCTTTGCATTGAACCCTAGTTCCCATAATTCCCCTTTAGCCAAACTGAACACCACAGAAGCACCTCTCTGCCCTCCATGCTGCCCTTCCTTCTGTCCACCAGGGAGGGAGTGAAGAACAGTTCAACTGTTTTCTTATTTGATTCTTCTCACCCCCAATTTAAAGGCCAAGTGCCAGAGGATATTTTTTTTAAAGACTGGGTCTTACTCTGTGGCACAGGCTACCTAAAACTCACATTAGTCCTCCTGCCTCAGCAAATGTGGCCCCTAGGACCTTGTCTCACGCATTCAATGTTTGCATACATGATATCTTATTTCTAGAGTGTTATTTCTCCCTCTTTGCCCAGGAAAATTATTCTCCTTAGCTCCTTTGGTCATCATCTCCTTAGAGAAATCTTTGCCAGGTTCCTAAAGACGTTCCTTCATTCCTTCCTTCCCTAAATTCTCCACATCTTCTTCTGACCTCTTTGAGTACCAGGTACATACATGTACATACCTTACATGCATGCAAATTAAAATGAATCTTTAAAAATAAGTTGAAAAATAAAACTAGCCCAGAATCCAGGAGTGGGGAAATAGACACCATCTTTTATGAGAAGACTTGCATGGAATTTGTGGCCATTTTTAATTCTCTAAAAGTAAATGCAAAGAAGGAGCCATTGCTGGCTGAGTGCAGCTATTGAAAGCTTCAGGCTCTATGGATTCAAATTCTGATCCAACCGTCGCGTGGGAGTGTTGATGAAGTCCAGTTTCTAATGAAGCCTTCAGAGTATGTAGACCCTAAAATATCAGTGCTGCCATGGGCTATGTGGAGCACAGTTTAATCATTCATTTGATTAACCAACGAGTCATCGAACAATCTTGTGCTATACTCAGACTCATGAAGCTTGTCAGGTAGGAGCTTGAGCCTTATGCTTCTGAGTCTCCCATCATCCGGCCCTGTTACAATGGAGCCTTCTGCAGGCCTTCGGCATGATGTACTCAAAAAACAAAAGCGACACCCGGTGTCTGTGAGGGAAGGGAATATCATCTTTTATTGTTGTTTGTTTCAAATACAAGGGTCTTATTCTGTATAGCCCATGTTGGCCAGGAACTTATTGTATAGCACACACAGGCCAGTCTCAAACTCATAGCAATCCTCCTGCTTCAGTCTCCTGAGGACTAGAATTACAGGCCTGAGCGACCATGCCTGTTTTAAATGAGTTTGGTCTTCGTGTATATTTGTGCATCTGTGATCTTCAAAGAGGAAGTGATGTTTACTGCCTGAGTTAACATTTACCTGCACACCTTAGACATGTTCCTTCTTGTTCCCTTAAAAAATATTTTCAGATCCTTCTTTTGGTTCATAAGCATGATGATTGGGAGTTCACGCCCATACGTGATGTGTGCCGCCCATTAAAACTTGTTATGACGTTGGCACATTACCTGTCTGACGTGAGGAAAAAAAAAATATTTTCAAAGCCAGGCATGATGGCTCACACCTATAATCCCCCCCAGCATTTGAGAAGCTGAGGCAGCGGGGTTGCCATGAGCTTAAGGCCAGCCTGGGCTACGGAGACTTTGTCTCAAAAAGAGAACTAGGTAAAAAGTTCTAAACTTTTTTTTAGATGTTTGTGATGTTTTATGTTTTGATGATGGAAAGGAGGACAGTCTGTTTCTTAATCAGCACTGTATGTGTAAGTTAGAAGGCCATCTTTTGTTGAAATGAAAACTGCCATCGTTTCCACCTTCTGAGGTTTAATTACAGCTAGGCATGGTGACCCACAGCAAAAAGAAGACTCATACTAGAGAAGGTTGTTTGAGGCCATCCTGGGCTACACACAGAGACCTTATCTAAAAAATAATCTGTGAGGTCTAGTGTCTCACACCTCCAATCCCAGCGCTGCAGAGGCAGAAGGATCACCACATCTGAGGCCAGCCTGGGCTACATGTGATACCCAAAAGACATAATAATTAAGGAGACTAGTTGAGAAATGGTAGGTAACATGAGGAAGACAAGCCATCTTTACCTAAATGATGTGTGTCTAATGTCATACCATCATGTGACGGGTGGTTTCTTTTGGAGGGACAAACACCAAGGTTAAGAATATTGCTGTTTTCCATTCAGTTGGGAGTCTTGAGTTTCCAAATCTTTCCTTTCAAATGTATTGTGGAGATGATCAACTTTTGAGGCCTGTTTTAAACTGTTGGTACTGACTCTTCTCTACGGGCTGCCAAGAATTCTGTTTTTCTTTGACTATAAATGATGAGAATAACTCCAGAGCGCTTTGGTGTTGCTGGCTGGTGGAAATTGATTGTTGACATTCATGATGACTTCCTGTCACCTGAACTTCAGGTGGGATGTATATTTCTTCATTGCAGTACCAAAAGGACGAAAGAGCTGTGTGCCAAAATGAAGTTCCCCATCAGAGATCACATATAGTATTGTTAAAGGAGTTTTTTAAAAGTACTTAATATATAGCTTTATTTTAAAATTTGGTGAGAGTGATTCGCTATCTTTATTAAATCTGTACTGTAATTCTGAAAATGATTGTACGAGAACCCAAGGGCATAGCATGAAATAAATATTACATTATAAAAATGACTTTAAGGCTTTGACCTTTTCTGTCTTTTAAAACAAATTGGTCTGCCGGGTGGTGGTGGTGCACACCTTTAATCCCAGCACTCAGGAGACAGAGCCAGGTGGGTCTCTGTGAGTTCGAGGACAGCCTGGTCTACAGAGTGAGATCCAGGACAGGCACCAAAACTACACAGAGAAACCCTGTCTCGAAAAAAAGCAAAAACAAACAAACAAACAAAAAACAACAAATGGGTCACTTTTTGCCTGAAGAAAGGGCTGCACTTCAAGCTGAATTACTGACTTGGCAGAGAAGACGCATGGTCCTATCTTACTTGCCAAAGTAACCAAAAGTCCCCCGGTGAGTGTGCCCAGTGACAGATATTTTCTGAAGGTCTTTTGCAAGAAGAGTGCATTTAAAACCTTCCCTCTTACCTGTCTGATGCCCACTTGCTGTCTCCCTATGCAGGGGATGCTACAAAGCACAGCTCTTTGTTTTCCTGAGGGGATAAGAGACTGTTCTGATCCAGGACGAGGATTCAAGTCACCAATGTTTCACAAGGGTGGGGGTGGCATGCGGGGGGGGGGGGGGGGGGGGGGGGGGGGGAGGTACCTGAATTTTTTGTTGTCACATAACGAAAGAGCTGGAGAGACAGTTCAGTGGTTACATGCACTTGCTGCTCTTGCAGAGAAACCTAATTCAGTTCCAACATCCACACTGGGCAGCGGACAAGCGCCTGTAACTGTCCTAGGAATCCTAAGTCCTCTTCTGGCCTCTGCAGGTACCTACACAAGTGTAGCACTCACATACACATGAGTGTGTCGTGTGTGTGTGTGTGTGTGTGTGTGTGTGTGTGTGTGTGTGTGTGTGCATATATACTCAGGGCCACAAAATAAATCTTAAAAAAAGAAAAACATAAGCCAGTGCCTTTACTCAGTACTTTGGTATGAACATCAGGCAGGCAGTTACCAGTTACAGTAAAGCAGGGGACGGTGCTACGGATCTCAGATTCCATCCGATGGCATTCTTAGCTCTGTGGTTGGGTACATTCCGCAGGTTTTAACTAACAGTTTCGGATGGACAGTCAGGAGCTGGAGAGAGAGCTCAGTGGTTAAGAGCACTGGCTGCTCTTCCAGAGGTCCTGAGTTCGATTCCAGCATCCACATATTGGCTCACAACCATCTATTACTATAGCCCCATGAGATCTGATACTGTCTTCTGGGTGTGCAGACAAAACACCCGTACATACAAAATAGGCAATTTTTTAAAAATGAAAGGACAGAGGATCAGAAGATTGATGATAAATGGATGCTAATGGGACTAAAGAAAGCCCAGGATAATTTTGATCCAGAATCTGCACTATTCCGACTCCACAAACATAAAGTCCTACTTAGTCTTCAAAACCCTAAATCTGTCTGAGGGAACTTCAGAATACGCAGGTCATTGCTGGCAGGTGTTACCATGTGCTTCTAATTTATTATGTATATTTCTTCAATCAGTTGATAAATACGTAATTCTGTGTTAAGTACAAGTGTGGGAGAGAGTGGCCTTTCAGATGCATTAAGAAGTGTCAACCAAAAGACAGATTTTTCTGTCCCTTATCTACTTCATTCATTCACCTCGTTCATTCATTCTTCAAGAAACCTTACTTGGGTATTAGGCACTGAACATGGGCCCTAGGGACACCTGTCAGTAGGTCCCTACATCCACCGTTCTCATCCTTCAAGGGGTCGCCTGTGGGCCTGGCTCCTGGAAGTCTTTCCTTCACGGATCAGGTATTACAGACTCTATGACTGGGGCGTATTGGCTCGTGCCTGTATTCCAGGAAGCTGAGTTTGAGCAGGAAGCTTGCCACGAGCTAGAGGCCAGCAGGGGTTGCCAGCAGGAGCCTATCCACAGAGTCAAAAGCAAGTAGAAAAGTTGCAAAGTGCTGTAAAGCACTGCCCAGCTCAAGAATGCTGACAGTGGTTTACAGTTTTTGTTTTACGTTTTTGTTTTGTTCGTGTTGTGTTATTCTAGTAGTCTACATTTAACTGTATTCTTCCCCCACCCGCCCCGCCCCTTCCCTAAAGAACACAACGGTGGCCAATATGGAATTTGCCATTCTTTTGCCTTTTTGTTGCTTCATTTTTTGTTTGTTTGTTTGTTTGTTTGTTTGCTTTTCGAGACAGGGTTTCTCTGTGTAGTTTTGGTGCCTTTCCTGGAACTCACTCTGTAGCCCAGGCTGGCCTCGAACTCACAGAGATCCGCCTGGCTCTGCCTCCCCGAGTGCTGGGATTAAAGGCGTGCGCCACCCACCGCCCTATTGCTTCATTCTTAATTTTTTTTAAAAAAAAATGATATTTATTCTAAGATCATAGGGTTTGGTGTAATTTTCCAGGGTTTCCTAGATTTTTATCCGGCATCAAATTTTTTTTTCCAGATTTTTTTTTTCACACATTTATAAATTCCTAGTCACAAATTATCTATTCTCCCATCAACAGGCCTTCCAAGTGTGATGGGAACAGAGCTGTAGCCCGAAGCTGCTGCCTAGTCATTGTTTGTATTTTGTCTTTCAGAGATCTCAACTGAATTGGAAGCTGGGGTTTCTGGAACACAGAAAAGAATGTTAGCATAAGTCAGTACAAAACAGAGTTCGAGTTATTTATTTATTTATTTATTTAAAAGTAAAGTTCTTTGTCATATAAGGATCAGCACCTGAGCTTGAACTCCGGGCATAGCGGCTCATGCTTATAATCTTACTGCCAGGAAGCCGAGGCAGGCAGATGCCCGGGGCTCCCTGGCCAGCCAGCCTGCTTTGTGTGGCTGGCTTCCAACCAAGTGAGAGACCATCTCAAAAAACCAAGATGGGTGAATCCTGGAGAACAGCACCCAAGCTTGACCTCTGACCTCTGTGAGCCCCTGTACACACATACACACAGATGCACACACAAAGAAAAGGCTTTAGTATAGATTAAGCACAGGCATCAAGAGAGAAGTCATAGAATAGAAATTCAGCAATATATACCCCAAAGCATGTGTCCGGAGGGAGTTGTATTGCAGTGTCTTAACAATCAACACACAAGATTTTGACGGCCGTAGAATTTTCATTGTTCTTTAAAATGTTAAAAATATTAGACAATCATATTAGTATTTTTGGGTATTATTTTTAACTGTAGAATATTTTTAGAATTGTTGCATTCATTTATTTCAGATTTTGAAATTTTATTATGTGTATAAATGTTTTGCCTGCATGTATGCCTGCATCGCATGCATGCCTGATGCATGGAGAACTCAAAAGAAGGCTTTGGATCTCCCTGGAACTGTAGAGACAAGTGGGAGCGACCCTGTGGATGCTGGGAAATGAACCTAGGCCAACAAGTGCTCTAAAAGGCTGAGTCATCTCTCCAGCCCCTGTTGGGATTTTTGTTTTTTGTTTGTTTGTTTGTTTTGAGATAAACATGTAGCCCAGGCTGGTCTCAACATTGATATGAGGCTGAAGATGGCTTTGAACTCCTGACCCTCCTGCTCCTTCTGTGTGCCACATACTGGGATTAGAGGCGGGCCACCACCACATCTGCCAGAATTCAAGTCTTAATCAGCTAAAATTAAAAATTATGTGGAGATAACTAACCAAATGTAACCTTTAGAACTTAAAATGTGGGGCTAGTGAGATAGCTCAGCCGGGAAAGAGCCTTGCTGCCAACCCTGGCAACTGAGTTTGATCCCTCTGTAAAACCCACATGGAAGAAGAAAAGAACCAACCACGCTAAATTGTCCTTTGACATCCATACACACGTGCATTGACATGTGTGCACCCACACATGCATGCACACACTAAATAAGTACTTTAGAATTCCCTGTGAAATAATTTCACAAAAAAAAAATGCATAGCAAGATCTATTTCCTGCTCTATCAGACTCCAAGGAGTTTTACAGCCTGTTAGAAAAGCAATAAAAGGCTGGGCGGTGGTGGCACACGCCTTTAATCCCAGCACTCGGGAAGCAGAGCCAGGCGAATCTGTGAGTTTAAGGCCAGCCTGGGCTACAGGGTGAGATCCAGGACAGGCTCCAAAGCTACACAAAGAAACCCTGTCTCGGGGAAAAAAAAAAAAAAAAGAAAGAAAGAAAGAAAAGCAATAAAGAATTAACATGTGTACAGTTGCAGTATAGTATATCCTACAGCTACAGTCTGGACATATTGGGGGTTTAGTTTCGATTACAGGGAAGTTTCTTGTCCTGAACACACCTTAGTTGAGACACCATTCTTCCGGGGTGGGGGCGGGGGGGGAGGGGAGGGGGGGGGACGAGGCTCCAAGTCTGGAGGTGTTGGAGATCCGCGCTGGGATGACGTAATCCAACCAGCTCCCAGTGCTTCTGTTCACACACGCTTTCTGTGGTCAGAAAGTGGAAGCGCAGGCTGCTGCTTGCCGGGAACATCTGACAAGGCTCCCAGCAAAATAAAGATGTGGGTAAAGAACTTGGCTCGAGGGTCCCCTTTCCTTCCTTCCAGAACTTGACAACTCTTTTTTTTCTTGGCCTTTCACACTGTGTGACTCGCTCTTTACTTCCTAGCACTGTGTATTTCCTGTTCTATGTCCTTTGCTTCCTTGGGGTTAAATATTAAACCCATTTCTGGAAGTCTGCCATGCTTGGGTCCATAAAGACTGATTAATTCCTAACAAAGACTTCGTGAAGGTGGAGAGTGACACCTTGCGGTCTAGTCTGATGGCCTGGGGGCTCTGTCTGAGTTTGCGTTACTTTAATACTGAACAAGTCTCTGAGACAGAGTGAGGGCAGATGATGTCAGATCGGTGCATTTCTTCGGCTGGGTAAGCTAGAGAATCAGACGGGTCGTCCTGAAGCCCAACCCTGCTAGTCCATGAACTGTGCGACACGGGAACATCAAGGCTAGTTAAATATTAAGCAGGGAAACTCCCAGATCCGATAGGTAACAGCAGAGAGAGAAGAAAAACAAGCAAGCAGAGCTAGCTCTAAGGCACATGGGAAGCGGAGAACGCCTGTCAGTTGAGGCACACAAAGAACCC